CACAGGTCTCTTTATTTAAGACGCATGCTCTGCGTCCACATAGGACAGCTATGCTGCTGCTGCCCCCTGCTGTAAGCTGCCTGTTACAGCTGAAGAAAGGAAGACATTGAAATGACAAACTTTTGTGGTCTAGACAGCCATGTTCATATTAGGTAAACTTTCTGTTGTAAAGCAGGTAATTGCAACTGATGTTATTTTTATTTAGCTGCAAATGTCATATCCCCCCCCTCCTTTTGTCTAGTCAGCACACCACAAAAGAGACAAGTTGTTGAAGGATTAGCAGGCTTGTTCTGCTTCATTCCATGCCACAATGCATTTAATCACCATTAACAGATACAACAAAACAGCATTTCGTATTGTTTTGATGAGCACGCATGTTTCTCTGACTGCGGTTTTGTGTTTCTCACATTCCATTCAAAGCCGGTGACAGCGATGCCTCCGGCAGCTCCCGTCCCCGCCAGACCGATGAACAGACCCGAGCCCTCTGAACTGGCAAAGAGAGACGATCCAATCTGTGCAAGACAGAAGAGAAGGTCTGGAGGTTTTACTGCAGAAAAACTCTGCTGCAAACACCTGACCTACATGCAGAGTTTGTGGACTTGATGCTTGTGCTCAAAATGATGGAAAATCTTCTCAGAGGGTTCAAAACTTTTCTTTTTTTAAACCTGCAACTGTAGCATTTGTCTTCTTTCATTTCTCATGTAGCCTCATTAACGTCAGTGTTTATCATCACATTGTTATTTACTTAATGAGAAACAGTTTCCGTTAAGCATAAGTCTACCAAGTCTCTCTTAAGTTCAGAACCCAGCTTGGCCTTACAGTTTTAGCTGTAAGGGGTGGCTGAATTTTAGTAAAACAAGGAGAATTGATTTCTACATTTTTCTATCCCCCCACCCCCACACACAAAAAATCCACCCTTTTAAGTGCCTGTAAGAACCATACAACTGTTTACTGATGCTTGATTCACAGAACAAATCTACCCAGAAAGTTGTGTATCTCCTAAAGTCAGTGTAGCCTACATCTATCACTTTTACCATCTGTGAAAACTAAAATCAACTTATTGCAGGTCACGCTTTATTTCCACAGTTAATGTCAGATGGACTCACCGGCCACCAGGCCATGTCCCTCCCAGCCAAGAAATATCCACTCAGTGTGTTTCTGCTCACCCTGCATGAGGACTGACACACAAACTGATTTGCACAAACATCCAAAACGAGCTGAATTAGTAGAACGGCACAAATTCATTCACGCCTCTCGATTCTTACCCAGATGCCAACAGCGAGGTTGAGAAGAAAGTAGGTCGCAATGACAATGATGTCTGAGAAGCTGAAAGACTGCGACAGGGCGTAGAAGCTGATGGTGGAGTTAGACATCCTGAGCGTTCGCGGCACTGTCGAAAGGTTCCCTGCGGCCACACACACCTGTCCGCCTCTGCGATTAGATTCTCATCTGACGCTGGAACTTTGCAAACACCATAAACTCGAGAAGAAGATGATACACACCCTAAAAATCTGCAAACCCTTGCCTTTAAATGCTCACTTCCCATCCAACGCACTCACGCTGTCAAACACACACACCTGGCCCTCGCCTGCGAGCTGACTGGTCTGCTACCAAAACATCTCGAGGCACACTGTTACATCTGAGTGTGAAGAGGGCAGACCAGTGGCTGAACTGATGATTAAACACATCACCTTAATGTGGCACCTGAAGTGCTGACACACACACTCTGCTAGGGGATAATGGAGTGCACAGTGTGTGCGAGCAGGGAAGTACTGATGTAAATCAGAGTCCACGGTGACACACACACACACACACACACACACACACAGATGGTCAATCATTGCCGATGACAAGTTTATAATCATTAGCGTCTAAACACACAAAAATCTGTTCTGGGAAGTGCTAATCAGGGTCAGTGGAAGTGTGTGAGAACGTGTCTGAGCTGTTTATGGTTTCATCCTGATATCTTCAGGAGGTGCTACAGTAAATAAGACACCGTAGAGGCCTTTCTTTACAAAAGAAGATGCTGGAAATGCTGGAAAAGTGCCACAAATGGATAATAAATATAGTGTATCCTTCTTACAGCAGCTATTCTGATGAATAGTAGTAGTTTAGTTTATTCTGTCTATAGTATAGTTCACACACCTGGATGCTTTAATATCAGACCCCTAATTAATGCTTACCTGTTACTTCATGGCAAATTTGCTGCTGTAAAATCTGCCTGTGCTACAGTCTGTAAAAACTCATTCACACAAACATTTTTTAAATGTGTGTAAAATTTGTATTTCCCTTTTTACATAAATTATTTTGAGTATGAGATCCTAACAAATGGATAAAATGAAGAAAAAAAAAGGATTTGCCTCATTGTGCAGGTCATGAGATTGTAAAAATGTATTTAGGCTTAAATTTTAAGTGGCACCAGTTTAGCTAACAGTGTGAGCAGGAAACCATATGTCACTAAAAGCTGAATGCAGCGGCCCGGATTTGACTTTGACCTGCAGCCCTCTGCTGTATGTCCTCGCCATTCTGTCTCTTCCTGTCTGCTCTCCACTGTGCTGTCATTTATTTATTTATACTGGGTACATAAATGCAGACATCGGGTGGTTATAGCTCAGGAGGTAGAGCAGGTCGAGTCTGCACGCCAAATATCCGGGGGCAAGATGCTGAAATAGGTCATCGCACATGAGAATATGAACGTGTAAGAAAACCCTTAGGTAGACAATAAAGTGCTTGTACGAACCAGGAAAGTTGTATAAAGTGCTTTGATTGCTCAGGTAGACTTTTCAGGTAGAGTGTAAATGCACTATATGAGAATCATTTGCCATTCATATCTGAACAGTAGCACATATTTTATAATCTTGCCTCTGTACACCACCACCAGTGGATTTTAGATTAGTCGATCGAGATGTGCCTGAAGTTTAGGAATTACAGGTGTTTTTAATTCACAGTCCCCATTTTCAGAGGCTGAAACTTAATGGGACAATTGACTGAGAAACAGCTTAATGGCCAGGTGAAATCTGCTCTTTTGCTAATTCATGATACATTAAGAATATAGAAAGAGTTGATACAAAAAGCAGAACTTGCATTTGGTAGCTGTTTACTGGAATTCTTGATTTGAGGTCCAGAGAGACGTTGATGCAAGTGAAGCAGGCCATCGTTAGGTTTAAAATCCAAAAGGAACCAAACGAAAAAGAGATGACAAAAACTTTACAAGTGACCAAATCAACTATCTGGTTCATTTTCAAAAAGAAGGAATGCAGCGGTCAGCTCTGCAGCACCAAGAACGCCTGAAAGACCACAGAAGACAACTAAATTATGATGAATGATGTGGAAAGACAAAGAGCGTGTGAAATAAAATAGATCTGGAGGTATGATAAGTGAAGGAAACAGTTTATGGTGAGACTTCATCCAAGAATGAAAAACAATCAAATTATCAGTCAAATTGTGTTAGTCTGTGCATCTTTGATTAACTACATAAACTCCACTGAGGTGGTTTAGAGAAAATATGTTTAATTTTCAAAAATCATACGGACCTGACTGCAGTTTTTAAAAGTTCTATTTTTTCTCAAATACATGTATTTTTCAATTTTAGTGTTTATTTTTTCTCTACCTTTCTTTCATCAGTCATCATCAGTTTGGATATTTCATCCGTATAAAGCCAGCGCTGTATGAAGAGTTCTGACCTTTACTGTTTCACACACTTGTTTGTAGCTATGCTTTCTGACATGTTTGCTTTTGCTGGCCTCACAGTGAAAAAGCCTTTTCTCTGAGCACACCTGTACATTTTTCATCGGTGACAGCATGAAAGGATGGAGAAGTCCAAGAGTGGGTGTCAGGGAGAGTTTATCGGTCTTGCTTTTGTGCTCCCTGATGTGAAATTAACTCAGTGTCACACACAAGCCGCTGGCCGGTGTTTGTCCGCTATAAGGAGCAGATGGCGATGATGGAGACGGCCTGACGTCACGCACACCATCATCATTAATCTCTCTCTCACACAGAGCCACACAAAACCCCACTCTCACACTCGCAAAACACACAGCAACAGGTAACAGAAAGCCCACTAGTCACGTTTTAAGAAAATATCACTTAATTAAGTTTCCACTTGATGTAAATTTGTTTGCAGTTTGTTTCAAGCTTTTGGTGTTAAAAAGCAGCAAACTGAGAAAACGCATAGAAAAAATATATAAGAAGATATCAGAAGGTCTATTATTTGTAATATTCACATATGTGGATGTTATAACTTGTGTTTCATGAGTTTTAACAGTGCAGTGCATTGTTTACAGTGGAAATATGACCTTATAAAATTAAAAATAACTTATTAATATACAATATTACCATGTGCAACATCATATGTGGTATTGGTAAAAGCGATAAGAATAACTGGTGTGCATAGAGGTCTGTGTCAATGTATGTGTGAATGGGTGGATGACTGGTTGTGTAAAGCGCTTTGGGGTCCTTAGGGACTAGTAAAGCGCTATATAAATACAGGCCATTTACCATTAATAATATAGTAATGAATAAAGAAAATCTTCTCTAGGGCTGGGAGATAGACTTTGATGTCAACACTAGTGCATTTTATTGGAATACTTGCAAGTTTGACGGCATTTTAACTAAACATGTGCAGAGTTAGTTGATGTTAATTCAAGAGAAAACCTTCCAAATTAATCCAAATTAAAATGTCAAAGAAGCAACTTCAAAGGTATATGCGCAAAAAATATTATCTGAATCCGGCAGGAAATGAACACATCCGAGCTATGTCACTAAAGAGAAGTGACAGCGCCACCCTCTGGTCAAACAAGCAGAAACAAAGTTTATCTATTTGAAATTGAAACGATTCTGCTTTAAGGGAGACAGCTTGGCACACATTTAGTCGCACTGTTACAGGGAAATGTCGGCATTTTTTTCAGATATTCAGATCATTTAGCTAAGTAGTGTATGACGGGAAATAGGAAAGAACTGCGATAGCCAATCAGGAGTGAGGGCAACGGACTGACCCGGATGTAATACTTCATAACAAAAAATTTGCCGGGAACTCGACTGTGCCAAAGCTACTGTCGAAGCTGAGAAAGAAGCTATCGGGGGAAATATATTTTTCCTGATTATTTAGCCGCCGTGTCTCGGGTTTTATCGGATCAGGCAAAATGGACGAATACGATGAACTGTTCGAGGTACACGACGACTTCGAGGAGCAGTTTGCCGACGAGCTGGAGGTGCTGGCTGAGATGGAGGGTGAGTCCAAAACACTCAAGTTACCAAAAGGGTAGCTAGCCTATGATTCAACTGTTAAATCGCCGAGCTACTTCTCGGAAACCGTCGTAGAAAAGTGGAGTTTTTGTTTAGGAGTAGACTTAATTTAGGGCTGCTTTGCTTTTGAACAGTGCGGCTCTTGAGGGGCGTTTAAATGGCTTTCAGGATCTTTGGGAAAGCTGTGTCAGTGAGCTCGGATCGAGCAAAACGCAACAAAAACAGACTCCGGGTAGAATAAAAAGAAATAGAAGTGCATACATTCAAGCTACAACATAATAGCACAAGATAAAGAAAAATAATAAATATAATGAAAATAGAGTTTGAGATATCTGTACAGGTGCAATAAAAAGTAGAGTTTGCAAATAAGACTTAGAGGCAGTGATTATACACTCACCCGTATATGTAGATATTAGGGGTGCAACGATACACAAAATTCACGGTTCGGTTCGGTTCGGTTCGATACTTTGGTGTCACGGTTCGATATTTTTTCGATACAAAAAAATGTTCATGCCTTTTTAATTTGTCATTTATTAAAATTATAAATA